CCAAATACCAATCATCACACAACAATGGCGTAAAACCACTCCCCTTATGATCTGAGGCGACCCTTGACCCCTAGTACCCATGATGATGGCCCCTAAGGGCCGTCAAAAACCCAATGTGACTGTGCCATTATGAAGTGGGTCAATGTTATTTGAATGTCTCCATTCTTGCGTAGTTAGTTCGTAGTGTAAAATTAATATTCAACAAATACCCAAGATGCAAAATAAGTGATTAGATATACTGAACCCTATTGTGTGCTATTGCTTAACTTAATGTAATGTATATTCTTTATGTATATTTGATTGTCCATACAGTATATCATTGTTTCGAACAATAATTAAATTGAGCTTACATACATGTCAATATTGTAATTTCATAAATGCATCATTGCTGTTAGTGAGGATCCCTGGAAAATGGGTGTCTTCCACCCGGATTATACAAATAAGAAAAAGAAAAATGTAGGGATCAGCACTAAACGGAGACACCACCCCTAAATATAGGCGCAAATACAGAAAGGAAAGAGAAAGACGGGGCTTTATAGGTGACTCATAAACAATGCGGTTAGACATAATATCACATAACTCATTCTTGTATAGTAAAATTCATATTTAATAACATAATTCCATAAAATAACAAAAAAATGGCATATACAGGACATAGCACACATCTAAGTTAAATAAAAAAAATAAACACATCTATAACCGACTGTATTCTGCTCAAGTACTTTTTTTTTTTAGCGTGGCACATCCTCTGCTGTGTTCAGGGGAAACATGTCAGGCCTGCTGTTGTTCTAGGCCTGGTTACAGTGACCACTACAATTCTTAATCCTATAGGTACTTAACCAGAGTGACAAATAATGGCATTAACATTTGGTAATATGCCTGTATTATTAACATGTAAAATATGATTAGTGTAATTGATATATAATATGGTATATTACAGATCGGAAATCATTCAGAAACCTGTTTAGAAAAGTAAACATAAGGAAAATCAATAAACATACATAAATGATGCCGTTTTTATGTGCAATAGTCAGACATCATCACCAATCATTTTCTCCAAACTAAGTAATGTTAGTATGGTTTAGAGAAGGCAAGGTAAAAGTTGTTTGTTATATTTTCAGCAAAATATGTTTTAAAAGAAATTTGGAGGCGGACCTCTACTTTTAAAAATGCTGCAATACTGACCCTCTGTGATCAGTACTATAGTTCGGCCTACAGTTGCTGGGTACTTATTACAGGCGAGGGACTTATGAGCATCAACATGACAGCCAAGCCGATTTCTAAAGGAGGTCAGCAATGAAAGTCCCCTTGTCTTTCTTGTCATAGTTTTTATTTATCTTTTCAAATAATTGATGCATTTTTATATTATAAACAAGATACATAAAGCATTCTAAACACAATATCTCATACCGGTATTGTAAAAATGTATTTCTACATCCATAAATCCATTTAGCCATCTTCGGTGAAAAAAGGTGTAAGAGGTTCGTTACAAGCTAAATCAGTAGAGTGCTTATAGCTCAACCATTAAAGCTATTTGTCACTTCACTGGTTCTTTTGGAAGCAGAGGTTGCAATCACCTAGACTACTATAGGACAATAGGAGCAAACAAGGTTGTTGTTTTTGTTACTAGTTCGTTATCAAAAGTAAAAAAAGAATGTATTATGTCAAGATGGTAAGTGTAACAAATTACAATAAGACTTGACTGTATTACCAAAGCCCTTCATATTTGTAGATGGCTCTAAGTAATGTGTGCTGAAGACGCCACGATTTTCTTTAGATTATTGAACTTTTCTTGTTATCAGCACCTAGCATCAGTCTCCTGCTTCATATTACATGTGAAAGGAAAGGTGGAAAGAAGCGCTGCAACCCTGGGATTTGCTGGAACGGTATAGATACAACCTTTAAGAGAAATTTAAAAAAAAAAAACTGAAAACTCACTGTTTTGGAAGAGGGGATAAAATCTTACAGTTGAGTAGAACGTTCAGGAGTAACTCTGACCTGTCCTTGTGGGTATAGAGCACGGGTTTCAGACGGACGAGCTGGAGTCTTCACGGTAAAGCTCTGAAAGCAGTATGTCGGCTTAGAGTGCTGGGCAGCATCTGTGGCTGGTTGGTGTGGGTGTGGGGAACAGACTACATGATTCTGGGTCAATCTATTGTTGTTTGTCTTGTACCTCGAAATTGGCTACGCGTTTCGAGGTACAAGACCTCTTTATCAAGCCCGAAGTGGTTTGCTCGTAAATAAAAAAAGATATACTCATTCAGAGCTTTACCGTGAAGACTCCAGCTCCTCCGTCTGAAACCCGTGCTCTATACCCACAAGGACAGGTCAGAGTTACGGTACTCCTGAGCGTTCTACTCAACTGTAAGATTTTATCCCCTCTTCCAAAACACTATAAAATATTCACTGTAGCACATACATTTGATACCACAGCCATAGAATCATTTATAATACAACAGTTTAATGGCACTGCGTATCAAAGAACTGTTTCTTTCCATACTTATCTCACAATACAAACTCATGAATTGACCAATATGAATGAATCCTGAACTGAAAGGTCAAATCCATTTCTAAAGGTTTGCACACAGAATCTAGTTCTGACTCTTAGAAGAAAGATCTGAACTTGTACAGGCTCTAATATTTTAGTTCTTACTTGCTAGATTCCTGTGATGTCTAAACGTTTGGTTGCTTCATATCATTTCGTAACATTTCAAAAATAGATCTTCCTTTGCTCACTAATTGTTTTGTAATGTAGATTTTGAAGAGACCACAGAACATTATCAGTGCAGACCTTCTACAGCAGAGATCTATGACCCTGGATTCAAAGATTGTCAGTGAAAATGAAGCCCTACTTTCTGAATGGATTAAAACCATTGAACAGGTTTTGGTGGAAACTGTGGATGAAAGGTGCAAATATACTGATAAGATATGATAAAAAGTAAAATTATTGATAAAAGATAATGGACATTTTATGCTTTATTTCGATTCTACTTTGTGCGTTGATATTTTTCAGAAGATAATGAAAAGAAGAGTGCAGGGCTGTGCCTCAACGTGCCTACTTTGGAACCTCTAGAAAAGTTTAATGTGTATTCAGTACAGTCTCCTGCTGAGTCAGCACGAAATGCTAAAAACAGATGTGCATTAGAGCAACCACATACACATCTATACAGGCAGTCCCCATGTTACAAACAAGATTACATTATTTCAAGTGTAACTACAGCCAAAAAAAATGTTTTTAGTTTTGGATAGCATAGGGAAGGGTTAACCCCCTGTAATGTTTGTTTTGCTGTGTGTGCCCCTGTTCAGAAGATTTCACCTCATTTTCTGTTCCTGTGGCAATTGGATTTTGAACATTTTCGGTTGTCGTGGAAACAAGGATTGGTGATAAAGCTTCAGTGGAGACACCTTTTTCCCATGACCACTCTTACAGGAGTGAATTTCCCTTCCTAGGGGTAGATTTCCTCTCACTTCCTGTTGTCACTCCTGAACAGGAAGTGAGATTAAATCTTTCTAATGAGAATACAGACAGCAGTACAAACCTCACAGTAACCTGGAAGAAGAGGCAGGCACCCCTTGTCTGCACGTCCAACAAGAGCCAACTTCCTGTAATGTACGTACAGTATTATGAGCCAGACTCAAAAAAGGCGAGCACTTCTCGTCAGCACGAGCGCAATAGCATTACGACTGAAATGCTGCATGGTACACTTTTGCTGCAGCCTGGGACCCCCTGCTGTACATTAATAGCCTCCATTTGTAAGTAGGAGTCGTATGTAAGTTGGATGTTTGTAACACGGGGACTACCTGTATATGAAATACTGTAATGAAAACATGGGTCAATCATTTAAAAATTGTTTTTGAATGATGTAGCAATAGTTTAAAATGTGTATTTATTACAAATATACTATAGTTAGCCTTAAACTGATATTAAAGTCAAAGGGTTTTTAAGCCATTTCAAATGCTGATTTAATCACTTACAATGGATGCTGGTTTCTTGATGTTTAAAAGTTTTTGTTTCCTCTGAGCACTGGCCCTGATTTCCTGTTTTACGCTGGCCCCTTTCCCTTGCAGGGTCCTATTAAGCCACCCTTGTGTGTGCTAGTAGTCCGTGTGTGTCTCCACAAACACACAGGCACAGCAAGGCAAGACACTCCTTTGCTCCCCTCTGCTCTTTCCTACCTTCTCCAAGCTAGTAGATAGATGCTAAAGACTGTGCTGCGCCTTGTGATCTTGTACTGGATAGCCCAGGGAAGCTGAGCTGAGAGTTCGAGGTAACATGATGACTATAAGTGCTTGGGTATAAATAAAAATACATTCTCAAATCATCTTTACAGTGCTAGTTTCAAACAGAAGTAACTGAAACCTTGTCTAGCATATACAGATTTATGCTATTTTCTAAAAAAAAATAATATAATAAAATCCTTTCCCTGTTGAGTTCACAGACAGACGTCTCTAAATGTAATCTAATTGGTTTTAGAGTTCTAGACATCAGCACTACTCCCCTGACTGAACTTCAGCACTGGCACCAGAGACAGAAGATGTTGGGATTCATAACAGAGCAACTAAGAGGAAAAGAATGCAAATCTGTTATTGGAGTCATCATATCTGCCAAATCAAGATTACTAAAGAGGTGGAAAGCCGTGGATATTGGGTAATCATTTGTACAAGCTCACATTTTTAAAAAATCATTTTTTGGGATTATTAATGTAATAAATAACTCAACATTAAAATGTATCACCATATTTTCATAGCATTACAGAAGCAACCAATGCTACAAAGGACCGTGTTAAGTACCTGGAGGCACTTCATCGTCATCTGGAAGCTTTGTCTAGTGACACTGACCCAGTAAACCTGGTGAACAGCACAATCCCTACCTTCTTCAGTGGCATCCAGCAGATTGAAAACATGACAAAGTTCTTCTCAAAAAATGGCTATTTGGGACTCTTACTTACTAAGGTAAAATGTTATGACAAAGACACTTTAGTTACTTAAAGGGATCATTTTATAAAAGTTCCACCCAGCATACAGCTGGCCGAATGCTGTTTGCACGGCACTACACTCCCAGATGGCGTTGAAGAGTAAAGGAATTTCCTCGTCAGCACCATCTAGGGGTGCTAGTACCAGGCAAGTGGCATCAGCCTGGCTATACACCAGGTGGAACTTTTATAAATAAACCCCAAAGTGTATGTATTCTATAAAAAATCTATCACTCTAATCACTTGTAAACTTCTTTTAATCCTAAGTATGTCTGTTTTTTTATGTGATGTGGCTGACTAACACCTGGTGACCCTGCCAGTCTTCGTTGGTGCTTGTCCGCTTTCTGCTTTTTTATGACAACACTATCTATGCGTTCAGACCTGTGGTGCCAGCTGATCTTTGAAAGGGAACAGCAGGATGTGGTGCTAACAGGACAAGATGACATCACAGGCTGACATGCCCATAGTCCAGCCCTCCCTGCAGTGATTGCGAGTGCTAGACAAAGAGCTAGTGGATATGTACTGAGTAGGGATTATGTGACTGCTTTACAAATTTCATAATAAAGGTATTGAGAAAGCTTTTTATTTTTATTTTATTAATGTGGATGGCATAAAAAACATTTTTTGATGCAATGCACTGTTCTCCAGCTTAAGGCTTCACATACACTTTAAATACTCTCTACAGTGAAAAAATAGCACTAATTTTTCCATTACAAAATCCATATTTTATTAGTTTTTATTGCATATACTTATGCTCCCACAGTCATCAGCAAGTGTCGAGTCTCATTAGAAAAGCTGATGACTGTGCAATGTTAAACATATCTTAGATCTCCTCCTGCCTTAGCAGAGATTAACTGACGGCTTTAGCAGAGTGTTAGGAATGGGTGCCTCAAAGCATTCAGGCATTGGTCAGAAAACACACCAAAGGCTCTGTTCACAAACTTTAACAGAAGGATAAGGCTCTTTATTTTCAGCCATGTGACTGCAATTTTCAAATCTCATTGGGCTAAACAATTACTGTCCTTTTGTTTATAATAAGGGTGTTTATCCTGGTGTACTAGCTTTGTGCATAAAGCCTCATGCATGTGTAATTAGCGTGGGTACCCAGTGTCAAAGGAGTTTTTATTTAGATGCAATGAGATGCACATGACAACTTTTACAATAGCATATGTTTTTGTTAAACAGTCATATGTTTTAAATCCTGCATATCATCCTTTCCCATTTTGGTGGGACATTTTTGTTAACCCCAAGTTGCTAGCTTCTTAAAAAAAAGAAAAGTGTTATTTTGGTAAATATTGGTTTATTGGAGAAGGATTTGTTTGGATCACAGGCAGAGCTTAAATAAAGTATATATTGAAAAATAGGCTGCGGTTGCAGACCTCGTCTTCTGAACATGCTTTCATGCCTGGCTACATACTAATATAATGGCTTTGATCATGTCTAAGTCATTCATTGCCTGTAACAAATATGCATATCAGGAGTTTTGACCTTATAACCAGGCAACTAACAATTTAGCAATTATAATCTCCTTATTTCTCTCAGTTTTATCTCAGTTTACCACACTGTGAGGCTAAACACACTATATTGTGCATTTAGCGCAATGCATAGGTGTGAAACAGCCCTAATTGAAACGGTATCTCTGTCGAGCGTCCTCCCCAACTCACTGATGTCACTGGTTGCCAGGAGCTGGACAGGACACCATTTAGAGCACCCACTAAGCTCCTGGCAACCAGTCATGTCTGTGAGCTGGGCGGGACACCAGCCAGAGTGTTACAGGTTGCTAAGAGCTCAGGCACACCTGCCGCCCCCCCATATGACCCAGTGAGATGCCGCCTGAGGCAACCGACTTAGACTGCCTTATTATAGAGATGGCCTTGCATGTAATGGATTCTTTACCATTGATTTACAAAAAACAAATAGGCTTATCTCTTTGCAAGTGAATTTAATCTTTGCAGGGGAAGTTTAGCTATGTGAATGTGGTGAACAATCACTTTGCAAAGAAAGCTCAATCATTTGCAAGGACAATAAAAAAAACACTATTTTGCAGATGATTGGATGATGGAAGTCAGCAGAGCTTCAACTCATTCAAAAATTCCCCTGCAAAGTCCAAATTCCCTTCCAAAGTGAATGTCCCATATGCCTTTAGTAAATGAACCACCTTTGTTTCCATTTTATTTTTTTGTAACTCGGTTCAACAACAGAGAGATAAAGCAAAGTTAATTAGGAGATGCCTTCAGGATTTTAATACATATGTAATGACTTGCATGCCTAAATGGGAAATGAGAAATCTTCCCCATATCTCTATGATTTATTATGCAAGTCCTTGTTTGCCAGCTATCACTTTGCTCATTTGCTTCTTCCAGGTATCAAATCAGTTAACACAGAACTGTAAGTTATTCCTGAAAGAAAGTCTTACAGCTGGAGGGTCAGAAGACAGACTCTGGAACGTAATAAGAAATCATATGGCATCAAATAAAGCAGAATCTGCTTCGACTGGGGGTGGAGAAGAGAAAAACAAAGATAAAGCAGCTATTTTAAAAAGCAACAGCTCTTTCTATGAAAGGTGAGTAACAGAGAACATAGTAATGTCCCCATGGAAGAAAAACTGTCAATATGTATAAAAGTTTATGGGGATATTGAGCAAAAATCACTTAGCCCACATTCATGTTGCACTGCGGTAGGCAGCCTTTTAATTTAAATGGCACCAATACCGATACTAGTATCGGTTTTGGTGCCAATACCGAGTATTTAGGCGAGTACTCATACTCACCCAAATGCTCCGATACTTACCCCCAATACTGGGAGGGAACATGGAGCTGGCTTCCCGGCCAAACAGCATGGAGCTGGCTTCCCGGCCAATCAAGAAGCCGGGCAGTGGGTAATGACACTCCGCCCGGCTCACTGGCTCCATGCTAGCAGAAGTACTGGTATCGGTACTAGGTATTGGCAAGTACCGAAAGAGAAATATCGGTACTCATACTCGATACCGAAAAAACGGTATCGGTGCATCCCTAGTTTTTATTAAAAGAAGAAACCTCACTAGTTGTGATAGGAGGAAATATATTTGTGTGAAGCTGGCTTAAATAAGCCTAATTGTGATCTATTAGTCGAATTAGCCAATTGTTGATAAAATGGGAAAGGGCAACTAGGACAAGAAATAAAGGGAACAGGGTCACTGGGTGGGACACACGAACAGCAATAAAATCCTTACATAAGTTTTTGCCGTTCCCCACTCTACTATACACAGGAAGGGCAGGATATGAGAAGAGATCACACAGACAGCAATAAAAACCTGAAAGGGCTCCAACCCTACCCTACATTATCGAAAGCCCAGAAAATAGTTTGGCTGCAGTTGAGCTTTAATTTAGTATTTCACTCTATATTGGCCTTTCCTTAGTAAAGGGATTCATATGTTATCTGAGGGGACAAAAAGTTTTAGTTTATTGTTGAACCCCAGGTACTCACGGTTAGAGGGTGATGAAAACCTTTACTATTGTATCCACCTTTCTACTTGACTAATTGTTTGTTTGTTTTTTATACAGAATACAAGCTTGCATTGCAGTACGCAACTGTTTTCAGGAGGAATTACATCGATTACGTGACTGGCTGTTTGGAGCACATGGGCTTCATCGATACTCATCTCTCAGCTCTGTTTCTACTGCGCCTGGGAGATTATCTTCTTTGCAGACTACCAAGACTAATAAAACAAGTCTGAAGATGCCACCATCACTAACATCCAGCACAGGTATCTTTTTACTGGGGTTTTCTGTGCTATTCTAAAAATGTCAAATCTGTCCTAATTCCTAACAACAATCAGTACACAAGCTGATCTGTAATTTTACTCCCGAACACTTTGGATTGGGATTCTTGGGGTAAAATCCATTACATATATGCATATCTCTGTAACTGGTCAACAATTCCACAGTCAATTATTTAGGAGAGGGTTGCATCCCAATTTGTTTAATGTTCCTGCTCGGGCATCCCATATTCATTACACAGATTAATTTATTTGGTACTTTTAATCCAGGGCATAAATTGTAAAATATTGCTCCATTACATAGACATATTCAAAATATATATAGCGTATTCAAACATTTGTTAAAAACATACATATGTACTAAAATCCTCTGTCATATAGGATACATCCTGGTTTGTACACAGATATTATACCATATCAATACAACCCGCACATACAGTACATACAAATATGTCAGATTCTTCTACTTCAACACACAAGTCTATGCGGTTTGTCGCTATACACCGCTTCTTCATTACTAATATTTGTGTTGTTAACACAAAGTTTCTTATTAGCTTCTTCAAATCAACATTATCTCTGCGTGATAGATGTAAAAGGGTATATTTATTCCATATATACACAGGATATCTTTCTAAGTCTGCTTGTCCAAGCCTCCCTCTCCCCAAAAAACCATCAGGTCTGTGGGTTGATAGGTTTGCACAAAGACCATACATGTTAAAAATGGTGCCCAACCAGGCCACCCCTGCATCCAAACAACAGGGACATGTATATGGACAACAAGGTTGATCAGGATCCTATTTATGAGAGGATAGTTATTTTATTTTTGGGAATATGTAACTGTGAAATACACCAACATGTGTTACACTGTTGGGTACCTATGGACCATTTGCTTCATAGTTTGGGACAGCAGTCATTGGTAATATTTTAGTAGGTGCCTAGTTAGATCACTGTCCTTGGCTTACAATAAGCGTTTGGTAAAGTGGAAGTCTTAAGCTGTGGGGAAAAAAAAACAGTCACATGTGCGATTCCAGAAGGAAAGCAGGACATGTGTAGATTTTTGACCACCAACCTAGGGACATCCTTGACAGTCATACGATCCCAAACATGTCTAATATATCCACAAATACTATTTTTCAGCTACATTTTTTAATTCAAAGAATAAAGGCAGTAGGGATTCTGATATAGCATTGATGGCCCAGCCACTTTGTATTTTGTAGTACAGAGTATGTCTGTAATGGTTTCCTCTATAAATGTTTGTTATAAGGGCCTGTGGCATGCATTAGCAACATATATAGTTTATAAGGGATTATATGCAGTATTACAGGGTGGTAAAACTTATTTATAGGCAAAATATTTTATTTTAGTTTTGGATGTTGTTTGACAGTGTTGTTGTCAGAATACAATGTACACAGTGAGTTATTCGTTTATCCAAGCTGTTTAGAGTGGATGGAGGAATCTGTCATATTTTTTCAGGCTGAACAAAATAAATATAACCTTGTGAACCCAGCTGTAGTGATGTGATTTCCAAATTTTTACAACTGTCACTCTAAAAAGAGTTTGGATGAAATTGTCTATTGGGTACAGTTTTGGTGAAGTAAAGGGAAATTACAGAGACAGCAAAAAAAATAAATAAATAAATTAACAGAGGGTTCAACTCTTCTTCGCTCTATTCAAAACTGAAATGCATACATTTTAAGAACATCACTTATTAGCATAGAGGGTTCTTGCCCATCACCCACTCTACTGTCTCAAATATGTAATGTAACAAACGTATTGGCTCATAAGACATAATACACACTGATATAAAATTAACTGTAAATATTTTATATGTACAGCTTTCAGGTGAAATTTAGCGAAGTATTTCTTTGTTAATTTTTGATATTTTAAATACATTTTAAAATTGATCATAAATATTGCAGTTGAATGTCTCTAAGAATTAGTTTGAAAGCATCAATTTTTCTCTATGAAATGTTAGACTCTGTGGTAAGTGAATATTCTCTTTCGGAGGCTGCTGTGTAAGCATGTAAATTTGGACATCTAATTATGAGTTCACATTTGCATAAAGCCCTTGAGTAGTAACAGACAGCAGATAAGGAGACAATGGAAATCAAACTAATTGCAAAAGCAGAATGTGACAGGAAAATGGTCAAGTGATTGTGTCTGAATAAAGCATGCCAGTGGAAATTCAGTGCTTGGTTGCAATGATGTCAGTGTTGTATTTAGTAAAATCTATGAGATATGGGAAGCCTTATTATCTGTCAGTAACACTATGAATAGTGACTTGCTCTGGGCTATAGAAGCAGTAGGTTAGGTACGTATGTATTATAACTAGAATTTCCATTACATAAAATAGAAAATGCAGTAGTTTTGTTTTTGCTTTAAAATCATGTTTGAAAGATGAAATAGATTAAATAACATTTTAATGAGATGCCGGTTTGTTCAGTGTATGTACCAAGCTCATCAAACTACATGAAAGTTAAAAAAAAGCAAGAAAGAAAGATACAAGAAATATCTGATGTAAATAAAAATAAGAAGCTACTTTGACAGTACAAAGTGAATACTCAGGGTATATTAACATTTACATTCTACAAACATATTATTGAGGTAGGGAGTATGGCCAGGGGAGGACTGGGCTGGGGGCAGGGTGTCATTTTCCTTCTCTGCCAATATTAATAACATTTGTTGGGAGGTTGGCCCTCAGTGGAGATACTGCCCTATTCAGACATTGTTTAGAGCAGAACCTGCAGTCAGTGGCATATGCTGGCATTATATAGCTTCCTGCTCCGTTGAGACTTGCTATCATAGGTTTGGCAAAGGGAAGACTTCAAGCATGGACTTCCTTTGCAGTGTCATGTGACTGAATGTTGAGAGCCACCAAGGAAGATGATGCTGGAAATGTCTTCTTTTATATCAAGGCCAAAGGTTTCCAGTCCTTCTCTGATTAAGGGGAATGGCTTAAGGTGAAGGGTCAGAAGGTTCTTATAAAGTTAATGTTGTTGCCCAAAGAGAGATAATTGCAGTTGCTAAAATAATTATAATGCCAGTAGATGGGCAGTTGACCAAGTTGTAAGGACTCCACCATTTCATATGATTATCCTGTATGCTTGTAATGTGCTAGAAGTAGAATTGCAATAGCCATTGCCAGATTAATACTTTACAGCCATTTGCATTCCATTGTCGCCAACAGACTTTAGACAGCATTGTCCTGATGTTAGTAATTGTGACATTTTTGTTTGATTATTGAACAGAGCCCATGGGAGGCCAAAAGCAGATCAGCATTTGGAATTACAGTATAAGTCTAAAGATTTAGCATCAGAATTAAATATTCCGCAAGAGCTGTAGTTTTAGACTTGCTCTTTCCCAAGTGTCTAGCCATCACAATTTGGCTTTTGTCAAAGTTGCTCAAATACTTAAGTTTGCCCATTTTTTCTGATTCCAACACAACAACTTCAAGGACAAAATGTTCACTTGCTTCCTAATATATCCCACCCACTTCCAGGTGCCATTATAGAGAGATGAATGTTATTCACGTCACCTCTCAGTGGTCATAAGGTTATGGCTGATTAGTGTATAAAATCTTCTGGTCTTGGTTTTAAATAAGCATTAGTTAGGTTCTTACAATAGTTTTAAGTTTTCAAAAGGGGTTCTTGTTCATTACAAGTTACAATTCTGTTTATTTGCCAAACATTTGTTTTAGACCAGCAGCAAGAGTACCAGAACAGTGGTGTGGCTATTACGGACGATGATATAATTATGTACCACTTAGAAGCTCTGAGCACCAAGCTTAAACAAACTCTGGATATTATGGAAAAGCTACAAGAGGTAAACTTTTATTTATGTAAAAGGAAATAGTTTGTATAGTTTTTGAGATGGTAATGGATAATATATATTTTTAATACAATACTAAGTAACTTAGATAACCATTTAGTGTGAACACTATACGTGCATTGTATACGTTTTTATTATAGCTTTAACTACATTTCAGTATGTTATGTATTTTTTCCAGTATAAAATATTATCCAGCATGACAGAAGGTCTGCGAAAGCCTGTCCAGGAAGACCTAATTGAAGATGATAACAGTGAATCTGGAAGCATCTGTGGAACCACTAATGAGGAAATTAAGGGAACAGGTAGAATTATCTGGCCGCACAGCAGTTAGAGTTTTCCGAATTCTTTTTTTCCCCTGGATAATATTTACCAATAACTGTGCAGTGTGAGGACTTACCTAATGAAGTGTAAACTGTATGGATTGTTTAGATAACTGTTGGACTACCTTGGCTAGATATAGACATAAGACAGTTCTCACCAAACCTATGGAAGATTGTGTATAAAATCTTGAATGATAAGAACTTCCAGGTACATATACAATTTTACACAATAGGCCCAATTCACAGTGCTATCAGAGCAGGAATGCGGATTCCTATTTAAAAAAACAAAACCTGGTCACAGGAAACATGAGGGGGCAGAGTGGCACAGATGCCAACAATCCCAGACTGGTGACCCTGACCCAGAGAGATAACTTGGGGAGAAAATCTTGATCAAGGTGTTCTTCCAAGGAGCAGCAGACCAACAAGGATCTGGAAGTCTTGCAGAGCTCGTCAGGACTGATGTCAGAATCTGGCTAAAGACAGACCTGAATAGACAGCAGCACAGCAGGCAGTACTGTCAAGATGAAGGTAGAAGATAACTGTAGTCAGGAACAAATTTGGTCAGCAACAGGCAGACAGGAACAAGCTGTGGCCGTTAGAGAAACCGGGCCAGCAAGAGATAAACAGAAATAAGCCATGGTTAGGACAAAAGCTGGGTCAGGGGACACGCCAAATCAACAGTAGGTAGTTGTGGTCAGGTTAGAAGCAATGGGTAGACAGGAAGAGGATTGGGTACATAGGTCATGGGGTAAGTAGCTGAAGAGCATCCAGCAATCTTCTGCCACAACTCTGATCCTTAAATAGGCCTTTTCGTGCTAACTCTGGAATTGGGTGCATATGCCATGATCATGCAGGCTGCTAGGTGTGCCCCACACATGTGCATGCACCTGGCTGGAAACTATTCTAAGCCTGTAGACCAATTCTTCTGGTGATACTCATCTACTAAATATATTTAATACCATTTATCTTCGTTAAGATGGCCCCAGGCATTGCAGTCTTTGTAGTTTGGGTGCTTACCTAAACTATCCATTCAGAGTACATCTAATCAGATAGACCCACACACTGATATTAGTGGTTACAATTTGCTAATTTAACAGACCAAATTAAAGTTCATTCTGACTATGTGTGCCCAGGTTTAGGCATAAAATTTTTTATTTCTTCATAATTAATTAAATGTCTGTGGTAGCCATAATTATTGGTACCTATTGCTAATCGAGCAGATCGAATGTAAGAAAAATCTGATAAGTGACCAGCTAAAGGGTTGTAAATGAATCTATTTATCAGTGTTTAGAATGTATTAGCAAGCATCTTTCTTGTCGCTGTTTCCTTTGCCTGGTTATGATAATTTTTCTTTCTACCCACAAGCTGTTTTACGACACGTTGATCAATGTGAGCAGGAGCGTGATCCCTCACTGTCAGTTTGTAATTTGACTGCAGCAAACCATTTGCCAAAAACAGAATCACAATATCTAATATCGAAGGGAGGAGAAATAAAATTTCCAAAACAAAATAGGGAGAACAACGTGTTTTACCTTATCACACAGAGTAAAAGCCAATTAGTGGACTGTAGTATATATTCTAGAACAGGAAATCTGCAGAAACGTAGAGGAGTTATTGTTTTCTATCCTACTTTAGCTTCGAGCACACAAGTGAATTATAAGGGTTGATTTACTAAAACTAAATAGACTGCTCAGTTTGCAAGGGAATTTGCACTTTGCAGGGTAAGTTTCCCTTTAGCCTAGTGAATCAGGTGAAGATTTGCTAACTTCCTTCACCCTTTATTTTCCTTGCACATGATTTGCTATTGAGACGTTTCATCACATTCCCGAAGCTAAGGGAAACTTTCCATTCAAAGTGCAAATTCCCTTGCAAAATTAACAGCTTACTTGCCCTTAGTAAACCAACCCCATGCGTTCTACCTTTGCCCAACACATAAGGATACCTAAAAGTAGTGGAGTGACTATTTTACTTACACAAAGCCAAATTCATGTAGTCATAATGCTGTTTTCTGTTTGTAGATTTTCAGACTGAAGCTATACCTCACCAGCATCAAATGCTAAGGCAAACTGCAAGTTCTCCTGGGAAGTTGCACACTCTTGTTGAGGAGGATGAGGCTCAGGTAAAGGCCTACTTCACCGTTTTAGTCAGAAGAAAATGTCGTACTGAAATTTGTACTTTGTATTTTGACTATGAAAAGAATGGACTTTATGAATTAAAAAAGCTGGATTGTCTGTTTCCTCTTAGGTTCTCCAATTCTGACTGTTTAAACGTATCTGCTATTAAAACTACTAGTAGTGATATCTGTTCACAAGGGAATTCGAAAGCACATTTTACTTTGATGGCTAGATATGAATTATTATTTAACATGCAATGAGAGAGGCTAATTTTGCATCTGGTAGCATTTTTCTTGTTAACCCTACAACGCAGTTTTTGCTTTTCAGCATTGATTATGGTTATGGTATGGAAAACAGTTGTAAATGGTTTACAGTGCTGGTAATATCAATGACCCTGAATACCTATCAAAGGGATTAATATATACAATCTTAAAATAAACTGTCCATGGGAGATATATGGAGGCTGAGTTATTAAGATGTATTTAGTTAAGGAACATATCTGTGACTTTCCTGATCTGCATATTGATGCCAGAGAGGCTTAACAAAACAACAAGGCCAGTGCATTTTCAGAAGGAGGTCAGCAATGAGAACTGAAAATGTATGTATATATATATATATAGCATTATTCTTATTTTCAGTCCTGTGTTTGGGTGTTTCAGCCTGTAGGGTAAAATTGTTTACCAGACCTTGAAACATTCAGTGTATGGAACCCTACAGTTTTATTGACATCCTGATGACTCAATATGCATTCAGATAACTAACCATGCATGTTGTTATTTGCGGAGAAAGCCAGTGATGATTTGTGTAACTATGTCCACATGTTGTGGGGTATAGTTAAATGAAAAACAGATTTGAAAGGTATGCATTTTTTTCAGACTTTTCAACATTACAATTTCATTTACACATAACTTCTGAATATAAGCAGTATGCATTTTTACTTGTGGAATACAGGTGAAACTCGAATAATTAGAATATCGTGCAAAGTTCATTTATTTCACTAATGCAACTTAAAAGGTGAAACTAATATATGAGATAGACTCATTACATGCAAAGCAAGATAATTCAAGCGGTGATTTGTCATAATTGTGATGATTATGGCTTACAGCTCATGAAAACCCCAAGAACCCCAAATCCACAACCTCAAAAAAGTAGATTATTACATGCAATCAATAAAACAATGATTGTACATAGAACAATATCGGACCTCTGAAAAGTACAAGCATGCATATGTACTCAGTACTTGGTTTGGGCCACTTTTGCAGCACTTACTGCAATTACTTTTGCACGATATTCTAATTATTCGAGTTTCACCTGTATGTATTTTACTTGTATTGTGTTAGTCTTTGTAATAATCATAGGAGCCAGGTAGCCAGTATAGCTAAATACTTAAAGCATGAAAGAGTTGAGTAAAGTTTGTTCATGAAAAAGGTATTCTTAGTTAAGGAGGTATCATAAAATGCATGCATAAAAAAATTGGAATTTAAGGAAAGTGATTTAATGTGTGTCTAAAGCTAGCATTCAGGCACACTAGGGAGATTCAACCTTGCTATTTGTCCTTGTGCCCATTTTCACTGAAACAGGAAGTGAAAATCCAGAATTTTACAGCTGAATAGAATAGATGTTGAGGGGAAATCCTAATTCTAAAAGGGGATTTTCTCTCACTTTGAAGAGAGTTCATGTTATGCCTCTTGGACAGGAAGTAAGGGGAAATCTCCTCAAAGGACACACCACCTTAGCCAGAGGTTTTAACCTTTCTCTTTTCGTCCAAAACTAAAAAAAAAAATGTTTTAGCTATAGATACACTGTAAAAATAAGACGGACTCTATAATTAGACAATTGTTTACTTCTATTTACATGTCAAAATATTTTTTGTACAGATATATGTATAGGCAAAACTTTTTTTTGTTTTGGATAGAGTATGGAAGTTATGAACCCCCTATCGGTGGGATGTGAGAAATTCCCATCTTAGACAATTAAAACCGGAACATTTGTCCCCATTTGAAGAGTTCATCTCACCTCTTACTTTCATGACTAAATTAAGATTTTCCCTCCCTTTTAGTATCAGTAACACTGGTCACGTTGGCAGGCAAATAGGGGGTAAATCTCCCCATTATGTGAAATCAAATGACAATAAAAACTCAGCAAATAGTCTAACCCTTCACTACTCTCTCCCAAAAAAAGTTGTGTGAGTGGAAATGATCAATATTGCAGCTTACAAGTACTCATTATGATGCATTTGTAATTCCCTTTACTGTTTAATTATCACTTTTTCTGCACCTCTCTATTCTGCACCTCTTCACTCTGTCATGGTGTATATAGGGCACATAGCAAACAATTGTTTTTTATGTGCCCTTGTGGAAACCTGTGTTGCTCAGGTCCTTCGTAGTAGATATGTTAAGAACAGAATAGTCCCTGTGCCTTTTTGAGTATGTTTTTCATATACAAAGAAGAACTTAAGGCATAACTTCTAGACATATCTTCATCCTAATAATTTCCTGGCATTGATTTACACTCTTCCAGATGAATATTGATGACTCCTCCATGCTAACAGTTCCTTCTGTGAGACATGGAGATTCTCCTTACACAGCACCATCTGACTTGAAAATTGATGAACCCTCAGCAGATGAAGAAGACACAGAAATGATGCTTTCAAATGAGGAGAAACATATGTTAGGTATATTTCAGGAGACCTGCATTCTTTAAGTAAAGTAGTATATATAGCTCACACATACCATAATCTGAAATCTATTATGCATTGACATTCTTAAGGGTAACTTGCACTGGTCTGATAAAACTAACACTCAATGGTTGTGTTTTAGTTCATTATATAACTGTTTTTTTTTGGTGACTTATTTGCACAAAAATCTTAGTGTTATAGTTACATTTTTGTAAGGTTTGATGCTTTATAAAATATGACATAGCTTAGGTGTATGCTATATTTGTCTCAAAGCCTAGCTATCATTCTTTAATAACCTAAACCAAGGTCCCATGGTTCAAGCTACATGATCACATGTCAAGTACAGTTGAATTATTCCACTGTTGGGCTTTGATGATTTTGGATACACATGGCCGTGTAGATTGCACTATAGACATTTACAGTTTTAGGTGCTTAGAGAAAAATAAGTTGATTCTCTATAACTGGCTATTTTGCTTCTATTAATTTCTGAATTACGTAGCTTTAGCACCAGAGAGGTTTATAGAGTCATATAAGTAATATGCAGGTAATTAAAATAATGTGGAATGTAGATTAGATACAGTAAACAATTTGTGACTTTAGTAAAGTAATTAAGGTGTTGCAAACAAGAAATGTGTCTTTGAATCTTTAACTTTTCTCTAATACATTTTGCTGAGGAAAACGCCACTGAAATATATCTATCGTTATCAAATAGTTACTAGTAGTGCCCATATTGTTTGATATATAGAAAGAAAAGGGGCATAGTGGGGATGACAGAAATAGATACATTTAATGTCTCCTATTAGCAGCACTGGTAGTGTTATATTGCATGCACATCATGACCCAGTTATTTATACAGCATGAAAATGGTCAGGCAGGGTTCATACACATGTAAAAAGGAAGGGATTGAGACATCCTAGAAAAATATTTGTACGTTTTGAGAATGAGAATCTGACATGTTCTTTAAAAAAACGGTCATATTATATAGTGGACCCTAATGGAATAGAAGACTGGCAGCCTACAAACAGAAAAGATTTTGCATTTAGGCAGTGAATTTTGTGACTTCTTGAATGCATGTTTACTTTTATTGTAGTATATATTCTGCACATAACAAAATCTGCTAAAATGCTAATCCCTTGGCAGCTAACCTTTATAACAGAGAAGATATGGATGATGACGACTGCACATTGTCCTCAGTTTTGATGGAAAAGCTGGAGCAAATGATTGAACTGCTGGCTCAGTATATAGATGCTGACATATTGCTAGACACAGAGAGAAGGTAAGTAACACAGACAAGCTTCTATGCATATGAATTACAACACACGGCGGTAATGGATAGTATGTATTATACAGAAAACATAACATTGGTTTATATTAACTCTAACCTGGAGGTTCAGCTTTATGCAACTTTATGATATCAAATAATTAAATATTTCAACCTATATGTTCTATATAAATAATATAGATGATTATAGTATAGTAGCTTGAAACACTTGAGATGAGTGCAAGATGAGCCAGGGCTCCTGGCAATGGAAATGTCATTTGGATATGTATAGCTAGGTCCTTTGGGGCCCCAATGAGATACAGCCTTACTGTAACCCATGTTCTTATGCGACAGTATGATTCTAAGCTGTACATAATTCAAAATACAAAAGAATGGCGATTGTAGATGGTACCTCGTTAATTTCACAGACTGAGTTGTAGTATCAGTCATTCTGCATAAGTATCATTTACTTCCACAGCACAGTTTCTTGTGACTATAATATTCTAGAAAAAACAGTATAGTGTCACAGCATTCACAAAGCTACAGTGCGTTTTTAAGATGAGACCTCAAATTAAGGGCTTTTTCAAGGCTAAGGGTGCCTCTTAGGCTGTCCATGGACAGTAAACATCAGAAGCTTGCGTGGGCATGATTTGACTCCTGGAATATCTTTCTCGTATGACATAATAGTGTTATAAGCAAGCATGCTGATGTTGTGTGCTTGTGCCTATGCAGGTGCATAGACTTCCAGAACTAAAATATTTTAGGGAAGCATTGGTGATCATTTTATAACTGACCGGGGCAGTCTGGCAGAGCCTTTAAACATTGTGGAACAATCATTAGCTTAGTCCTTACAAAAAGCTAGGTGTTCCACACAAAATGACCAACAGTTTAATAACTCAGCACCTAACTCAGCACTATAAAATCCCTTTAATAATTGCACTTATTTGGAACTCTCTTTTATGTTCAACATTGCAAATAAATAAAGATAAATTATGCTTTGTAGTTGTTGGTGCTGTATTTTTTTTCTGTTTGGACTACAGATCCCCCTATTGTCTCTGTGTACCACATCCATGAATAATCCAAGATATTGGTTTTAAATCTAGGACTTTATTTCAAACATGTAACTCTGGTTTTTAATAAGGGATACTGTATAAGATATTGACCTTGTGTTCTATCTCGACTGATTATAAATAATAGGGTTTTCATAATATCTTTCATCTTGATTTCTACAGGGATCATAACCCTTTTGAAGAGGGGTATTCAGAATTCTTAGTATTGAACCAGCAAACTGAAAAGTACATCTCTGTGTACATACAAGCTTTGTTCCTTAGACGAATAACGTGCAAAGATGCTTTGTCTATTCTTCAACGGTAAGGGTATACAAATACTAGTACAGTAGACTTATTTCCTAAAAACTTTCAAACCAGAGTTTGAAAAATTTGGTTTGTGATTTACAGGATTTAATAATGATTCTGTGTGCCGTTATTAAATCCCAGATGGCTTAGTGAATAGATTTGCTGTGAGCAGCTAAAAGCTAAAATTGTCATTTATACCAGTGCTGTGTCTAATGGGTCTTATTAATGCAAAGTTTAACCAACTAATTACAAGAGGGAGAAAAGTGACAAAAACTGGCTTGTACATGTTTACTGGAACACACAAGCAGGGTTATTCACAAGAGGGTGAAGAGTATGGAGAAGGCAGGAGTAGTGAACAATCCTGGCCAAAATAGCTGATTCTCCAATTCAGCCCACTTTCCAGTGGGCCTAGATTGTTGTCCTAGATTGTTCACTTCTCCTGCCTTCTCCAAACTCTTCACCCTTTTGTGAATAACCCTGAAAGTATTAGCTTTCACTTAAGAGCACTTCAACAATTAGGAACATAAATTTACATTCACTGCACAGTCAGCGCAAAACATATTCACTAGGTGCCAGGAAAATTAACCTGCATGTTCTTTGGAATAAGTAACATTCACCAACAATATACAACATATAATATTCAAAGTGCCTACTGTACTGTTCACCCTATTTGTAACCTGGTGAATATGACATTTCCTATAAACCCTTACTAACCTCATTCACCAAGTCATAGATCTGTGTTTTAAAAAGATGTTTAGAATTCTGTAAATGCAAAAACTGTAAAACATTGCCTATTTGGCCATCTGTAGTAATGTCACCTAATTTGATTTGAACCACCATTCATTTTTATGATAAAATACTTTTGATGTTCAAAGTACTTTATCATAAAAAATAAATTTGATTAATTATCATATAACAATTAATATCATGCCAAAAGTATTCATTATTACTATTTATAATAGTTAGATAAGAAGATCAAAGACCATTTCAAAGGACAGAAATTAAGACAGTGCTAAATCATTACCTTCTACTACCTGTGTAATTTTTAATGATTCAAATGTGATAACTGTTCCCAGTAATTGCAGACTATGCTGATTAATCCAGAATTGTAAATCTGCTTGGATTAACCATAGTTTTGTAAATATGCTCCAAAATTATTTTAATTACATTCTACAGTTAAAGTGCATGTGAAACCAAAACTTTTTTTTAGTGTTGGATAGAGTGGGAAAGAACTGGAACTCCTATCTGTTTTTACTGCTATCCAGAACTCTGTTAGAGAGATTACCTCTCACTTTCTGTCCTGCTGACAATGTTTTACCAGACAGGAAGCAAGGGGAATGCTCTAACAGTAACACAGACATATTTGAAAACTTTTTTTAGTAGAGTCAGGGGAAGGCTAGAACATCTGTCAGATTTTTATTTCTGTCTGCATACCTGTTGCAGATTTTCCTCAATTCTTATCTGATCAGATAATTTCCACCCCCCCAAATAAGTTGCTGCCCAAAATGCAATGGTTTTTATATGATCATTTTCTGAACAATTAAAGCACTTTCTAACTCTTTCACCATTGGTCTGGCGCTTGTGATGTTTTTGCATGCTTTAAAAGAGAACTATGGGGTAAGTGTTTTTCCCCATAGTTCTCTTTAAGGTCACGGGATTACATATACCAACCTCCTCCCATGATCCAAAGCTCAGTATATCACGGGCTATTGCCCGCGATATACTGAGAGCGCTGCAGCCGGGACGGGTTTCCCGACAATACTGTCGAGATCCACCCAGCTGCATGAGCGACAGCTGGCTCTGCCTAACTAGAGGCAGAGCCAGCTGTGCCTGCCCCCTCCCCCGTCCGTTCCTCCACTCAGCGATGGAGGATCGGGGGGAGGGGGGATTTCCACTCATCATAGTTAGAGCCGACCTGTGACAAAGAAACTGTCACAGGTCGTCTCTGTTGATCGGGAAGTGAACGAACACATTCTGTCGCTCACTTTCCGATCATCTCCCTGCAGAGAGCGGTGACTGTCAGCGCTCTCTGCAGGGAGATGATCGGAAAGTGAGTGAGCGACAGTATGTGTTTATTCACTTCCCGATCAACAGAGCCGACCTGTGACAAAGAAACTGTCACAGGTCGTCTCTGTTGATCGGGAAGTGAACGAACACATACTGTCGCTCACTTTCCGATCATCTCCCTGCAGAGAGCGGTGACTGTCAGCGCTCTCTGCAGGGAGATGATCGGAAAGTGAGTGAGCGACAGTATGTGTTTATTCACTTCCCGATCAACAGAGCCGACCTGTGACAGTTTCTTTGTCACAGGTCGGCTCTAACTTTGATGAGTGGAAATCACTCACCTCATAGTTCTCCTTTAAGCCACTTTATCCTCAAGGGAAGCCTTGATCCAAATGAGCAGCCTTACCACAGCTAGTTGGCTCATCAAATGATTATGGTCTTTCCATGTGCAGGAACGAATAAGGTTTTTTGATATACCTTTTTGAAACAATAAAAAACATACAGGGGTATCAATCAATCCAAAACTTGGCTTGACATACACTTTAACTTCACAGTACTATCTAAATACTGTGTTAGCTACTATGGATTTATCCTGTGGGTCCATACCATGTATTCACTTTTGAAGTCTGTCTAGTTATGCTACTCTTAACTTTATTTTTATATTATACTATTATGAAAGTAGCTTGTTCTTGTTGTGCTTTTCCCCTACTCAAAAATGCTTTTCTTTTCTTTAAAGGTTTTCTTCTGTGAAACATAGGCAAGGGATACAGCACATCATAAATGAGTGTTATGTAGAAGTTTTTGACTGGTTCTATGATGAACTAAAGGAGGTTCAGCAATTATATGAAACCTTTAAGGTATGTAGAAATGTTATACATACAGAATAGTTTTTTGCTAGCGTCCTAGGAGGATGGATGTATTTTCTCTATTATACCATTTTATTAAACACTTTACTTTTTTTCAAGATAATTTTTTTTTCTTTAATCAAGACTTCATCTTCAAGCTGCTTGAGATTTTCTCTTTATGCAGCTATCTGGATAGGCACAACTCCCCCCTCCCCCCCTCCACACACACACAACTGGACGATTGCAGGGCCTGACTGGAATGAGACCTTCGAATACTGTGTTCTGCATTGAGGAGCTTTCCATACTTTTGCATACTGTGTTAGTTAGCCGTGGAGTGCTTTCCAGGTCCAGAGCCTTGGTACAACATCTGGTGTGAACCAGTCCCTAAAGACGCAGTTATAAATAGGCTGGGTGGGCCGAAATCCAGGATCTAGTTAGTTTAATAGAACTATTTGGCACCATTATTATCCATATTTTTTGTGTTTGTTTTCCACAGAAAGGATGGTAATGCAGACTAATTGAGTGGTGCTTCACTAGGTTAATTGTCGCGCATGCAATCTTCATGTTATTGTTTCCGCTATTCAGCATAAGGTAGCACCTTCCTGCTGCTGTTTCTTAACGCAAGAGATACATGGTTTCACCACGGTTAGTCCTTGCTGCCATCTACAGTGACTAGGCACTTTGAATCTCTCCTGCTTCCAACAGCTTATTAATGAGTACCCAAGGTTTTACCTTGTATTTGAGCTAAGTTGTCCCTGCTCATGGTGTAACATGTAAAAACCTAAACACACTTGGAGCAGTCTGTAATGTTTCCTCTCAAGGACCTGACACCTACATCCTGGAACATTGTCCCCTGCTTGAGTCTCAAGATTCAAGTTTTCGTTGGGTGTGGTCCACTTCTTGGTTTTAACTGAAGAGCATTTCACTGTAGGATTTTAGGATATAATGGGCAATGGGCTATCAAAATTGCAATTTTGATAGGTGACACTGACCGTAGAGGCCATAAGCATAATATGCTCTCTCATTAATGCTCTCTCCTGCAGAATCATTGTCTGACCTGTCTGCAGCCTTAGCTGCCTCTGAACTTTCGACTGCAGAGGCTCTATTTGACGAAGAGTCTCACAAATCCTTGCCAGATGATGGTATCCCTGAGGAGTCACAGGCAGTTGCCATAACTTTCAGGATTAGAGGGACCATTTCATCTCTCAATGCAGTGCATGTCAACTTAAAGAGGGAGGAGTAGGCTGTAGCATCCACTAGTGCTTCTAGATCTCTAGGATCTATGAGGGGTTCTAAGACTTCTAAAACCTTTTCCATGCACTCGCTATTCTCAGATGATCTGTATGCAGACTTTGTAAAGTCTTGACAAACCGCTTACACCTCCCAAAAATTTTGCAGTCCATTACCCATTTGAGGAGTATTTTATTAAGAAGTGGGCTGTTCCCACCACTGATCTGTCAATACCCTATCTTATTAAAGCACTGATGATTCCCGTAGAGGATGAGATAGATAAACATAGATAAATAAACATCCAAAATTTTGTTTTTTTTTATGAGCCCTGCTTTGCAACTTGCCATGGCTTTGATGTTAGTATGTCTCCCATAAGAGAATGGACTTAACTCATGAGAAGGGATCCATCTTCCATCCACATTCAGTCTCATTTTGTGGAGTACATAGCGCTCATGCCAGCAGACCTGCACCACTGTGTAGATTGGTTGGTCTCCTGTCTTATTTCCCATGTGAGTCTCCTATCAGTGAACATGTATAGAACTTTTAATTGAAATGTTGAACAGACATGTAAAAATAATTTGCTTTGCATGTTTTTTGACGTACAATGTCTGTTTGGAGTTGTCTTTGACACCCTTATTAAGGATGTCCCTGGGGATAAGAGTACTCTAAGGCCAAACCTAACCCAGGAGCCCAATTTTACTGCAATCCCTGGGCCCCTAATCCCCCAAGCCTGCAGACTTCTTTGTAGTGGTACAGCGGTTAGTCTATGCAGATACCTCGATAGACAGCATCTCAGATGCCTGGGTAAGGTGGTTTTTAGTGGCTACAAACTAAAGTTCTGTTTTTAGCCCCTTTCCTGATTCATGTCTTCCTTCTTGTGTCACCACACAGAGTAGCAGACCTCTATGTAGCTCTTACAGTTCTTCTGGCGCAAGGGGTTATTGCCACAGTTCCAATGGTGGAAAGGTTTCATGGATTTTATTTGAACTTTTTTACAGTTCTAAAAACATTGGCCTTACCTAGAATCTCTAAGCCCAAAATGCCTTTATTCAGCCCCCAAAATACCACATTGAATCCACCAAATCATCATAGCCTCCCCTATAAGGGAGACTTCATGCCCTCTGTAGGCATCAAGGATGCGTTTTGCATATCCCTAGCTTTCAAGCACTCTGGCCACTCCTTCACTTTGCTGTGTGTCCCTAGCACTTCCAGTTCATAGCCTGGCATTTAGCCTGTCTATCACATGCCATGTGTTCACCAAGGTTCTAGCCATTGTGCTTGCCTTGTTACGCTCCAAGGGCGTTCCTATTGTGCGATATCTGGACAACCTTCTATTGAGTCAACAGTCATCAGTGATGAGCATCTGGTTCTAGATACAGCTGAAGCCAGATTTTTTTTACAAGAAAACCTTCCACTTTTAGATTGAAGCTCTTTAGTCCAAGAGTCAACAGACTCTTTGTTTCTGCATGGGAGTCCTGGGGTTGATGGCAGCCTCCTTCAAAGCTGTCCCATTTGTCCAATTTCACTATACCACTCCATACCCCTATAACTCAACATCCTGTTATGGTGGAGCAAATAAGTTCAGTCTCTGGGCAAACTTTTTTAAAAATTTTCCCGGCGCTCTTCAAAAACCATCCTTTGCACCTATCAGGTATATTTCCACAGATACCCACAACGTTACTTTCCTGGTCGCCATAACCTCTGCGAGGCATGTATCTGAACTAGTCTGTAAATGTCTCTTTGGCTTTTTGGCATCATACAACAGTTTCTCAGAGTTGTACATTCTATTTTTTTTTTATCAGGTGACTGTTCAGACCTCATCTTATGCCAGCTTTGGGCTTATGGTCTTCAATAAGCTCTTTGAGCTGCAGGCAGTTTCCAGTTTTCTGTTGTTTAAAGAGGGCCGTTTAGCATTTTGTTTGCTGTGTTTTCCCACCCCTCAGTTGGACTGCTTTTGGACTTTCCAATTGTTTCTAAATCCTGTGCCCATACAATGAATAAAAAAGAAAATTGGATCTTTGTAATGCTGTTCTTAGAGTTAATTGAGGGACACATGCCCCACCCTTCTGCATTTATGATCTTTTCTCTCTGTACTGCTTACTAACAAATCGAAGGCATGCTGGGAGTGGGATGGGTTATACCAAGCTGGTCACTGTTTTTTTTGCCAGTGTCCAAATCCTTTTGTAGGTAGTACTATAACCTTATTGTCTCTGAATCCTGTGTCCCCCAATGCATTCCAACAAAAGGAATTTTACGGTGAGTGTACAAATACAGTTATATGGCCCAAAGGTGAAGTAACACACCTGTATCCAGGTACCCATATAACAGCATGCAAATACAACTGGAGTGCTTCCCACAACTGCCCCCGCCATATAGAGTCCAGACACTAGGTTGAAACACATTTTTTAAGGTTTATTCAATAACGCACTGAATATAATAAAATGTATTACTATAGTAAATGTAAAGCAACAAATGCAACCGTTTTGTAAGCAAATTGGTAAGCTGATATGGAAAATATGGTATTTAGCAAAGCAGTTGTACTAAAGAATACATGAGACACATACAGTATTATATGATCTGCATCTCTCTTATGACCTTCTCTGTATCTCTAACTCCAGTTCCTGAGGCTATAACAATGTATATTCTTTATTTTACAGGAAGAGCCAGTCTTATCAAGGAATATGCCACCAGCAGTTGGTGCAATTACCTGGTCACGAAAGCTGATGTCAAGGATTGAAAATACAATGAAAGTAAGGATGAAATTGAAAAATTAGCAAATGGAAATCTGCAATAATCTAAATCTCCACTCTATAATAGTGCAGCCTTACCTCCCTGGTGCTGTCTGAAGGATTTATGGATTTGTAATTATTCTCCTATTATAGAAAAGTATAGCCCATTCCATTGCATTTGGGATACTTGAGTCTTTTTCACATGGGTGTTTAATCACCGAATATGTTTATATTTAGGTATCCAAACGTCAAATTTACATGGCTGTTGTTGTGCCTCTTTGTTTCCAAAGGCTTTCAAAAATGTGAGAATTGTAGCATCATGCCTCACATATTCACATACAGTAAAGCTGTACAATCGATTAGCTTCTGCCTTGCTGTCATACGAAGATCTGTGGTATTTGAAGTGGAAGTCTCAGGTAGACAGAGGCCTGAGTGGACTTAATTTTACATTACTTGTCCGAGACCCAGCTACACAACAGCTGAGGGTCAACACTGATATGCGGTAATTATTAATACTATTGTTATTTTCCCTTGCAAAATATAAGCTATTCAAGCACTACACTGTACAATACTAATAACCTATACTAGAAAACCGCTGTTGGCTCAAACTGTATATTTCATTACAGAATAATCCACCTGATTGAAGAGACAAAATGGATGTTGAGACTTGGAATCAGTGTTCCAGAAGCTGCTCTTCAAGCACATCAGCAGGTATATATCTTGGGCAGGGGTTGGCAAACTCCAGCCCTCCAGCTTCTGCAGAACTAAAAAATCCCATTGCAAGATTCTCACAGCCCCAGGCATGACTTGCAGAGGCAGCTGTATGATAGCATTTGTACTTTCATCACAGCTGGAGGGCCAGGGTTTGCCTATCTCTGATGTACGGTATTGCCAATAAAAGGATGCATTGGAGAGCAACAGATTTTCCTTTTTCTGCAATGCTCTTAATAACATACCCATTTCAATTCAGATTGTTGCTTTATAATACTACTTTCTTAGAATGTAATGTGATGTTTGTTTCAATATGTGTGATGTTTACAGTTGGGGATTGGTGCCATATGTGTCAAGCATGAAATAACTATTAGGGGTAAAAAGTCAATCCATACAGTCTGTTGGGTCTGGCGACAAGCATAACGGCAATTCTCTTGTATTTATCCATGTTATGCTCACATCACAAATGTGTTGTTTTTCTTTCTTTCTTTCTTTCTTTCTTTCTTTCTTTCTTTCTTTCTTTCTTTCTTTCTTTCTTTCTTTCTTTCTTTCTTTCTTTCTTTCTTTCTTTCTTTCTCATATCTGTTGCTTGAGCTTCTACAATGCTTATTTGGCTTACTGAATAGAAAGATGATAAAAACCCACTAGCCTAAGCACTAAGTTGGATTCTCTGAGTTTTTTTTTATAAGAAAGAGCCTTGATAAGATTTTTTTTATTTATAGCTATCCACCTGCGGATATTAACAATGGTAACAGAAAAGTAAATCAGTTCCATGAGCCTTGATAAGATTTTGCTGTGGAGCTCAGGGAGTCTTTTGCATATAATGCTTTGGTAAAGGATTTTGAGTATTGTTGCTATGAAAAGATGCATGCGCACAACGCTCAACAAAACACTGTAGCACTGATACATAGTTGGATTTCAATAAAGAGAATTCTGATTGCTCACTATGGTCTACTGCACATTGCATTTGACACCATGCTTCATGCATTCTTTCTTGAATAAGAACATCTGTATCCATTTGCCAATACACATTAATCTGTCCAAATATGTATAAGAGAAAAGTATGCTGCTTGCTCAAATGTAAGCTGTGAGTTGCCTGACATTATTCCAAATGCAAAGAAATTAAATGAATGTTTACCAAATGAATTGATGTAACAGCCTTTCAATGCAGAAAAATGCAGCAATTTGCATTTGGTGTGTGTCTGTGTGTGTGTATGCAAGTTTGGGATTCATTGATGTACACTGATAGTTCACCCAAGCCCGTGCAAAACAGTGACTGACACCCCCCTTCCAGTCCAATTAGTTGTGGCAGTTGCGACAGAGGGAACTCCCCAGGACATGTAGCTGCAGGGTGGCTACTGAATGGGCCAGAAGGGGGAATATCAGTCACACTTTTGCCAGGGCTTGGGCAAACTCAGTTGAGCTTTGTTTGCAATAAGCCCCTACTCAACACTACTGCTGACTTTATTAATGTTTTGCCTTAAAAACTGTGTTTTTGAGCAATATGAAGCCAGCTCAGATGAGCTAATGGTACACAGCTCAGTTAGTTGAGGACTTGGATATTCAGGTGCAGATAAAATGTAGAATTAGTCATAACAATATTTTTCACTCACTTTCATCCTAAGGTTAAAGCCCTGAACTGGTTTACCTGTTCAGTAGATGTTCAGGGTTGATGGCCGCCTTGGCTCTGCAAACTGCAGATTTGAGTTACTATTCATACGTTTGTTTTACACCAAAAGGCAGATAAATTCAAGATGTACAAAAGCAATTTGCAAGACGTGGTTGAAGAGTATGAAAGGATTCAGAGGAAGATTCCAAAAAACCTTGCTGTTTTGTTTGCCTCCCACTTGGAAAGAGTAAAGCACCAATTCCAACCAGGGTTATCCACTTTATCCTGGAGCAGTGTTAACATAGAAGGCCTTCTTCATCAAACTAGTACTACTGTTAAAAGGTAACTATGCCAGAGGTTATGCATACACACTACCATAGTGATAACTGATACTTATTATGCAATGTTGTAAACACAGTCATTATGTGTAAAACATGTTTCCCAGCTAGAGTATTAATACTTTGCACTGGCCTGCATAATAAGGGGTACGTGTTGGGCACATTCCTTCTTTCATTAACAGTCAGAAGATGCTTTCTGATGTCTGTGCCATTATATAGTGTTAAAACTGCCACAGTCAACATCATGATCTTTTAAATCAATTTTTTCTACAATACCTACAAGTCAGTGAATGTCATCCATCCATATTTTCTGTCTTGTAGGTTGCAATGTATTGTTGATAAGGTTACAGAAATTAAAGAGCAAGTGATTGAGAGCACACTTAAGGAGATCTCCTGTTTTGACTTAGTTCCGGTGGAGAAGATCACAGATGTCCCCAAGGTACAGTGTTATAACCTAATACTAGTCATTAATCTAGATGCTATGTACAGGCAATCAATCAAGGAATATAAACAAAGAAAATCAGAGCTAAGATGTTCTTTATGGAAATGTAATGTTCTATTACAGCCTTTCTCAACCAGGGTGTCTTCTGCCTTCCTCGGGAAAGCCTTCAAATGTTTTCACAGCGCCATGCTCTTCCATAGTGCAGACAGGCTTTTGGTGTTAAGGGGGCTCCTAGTGTGAAGGGGGAACTCTAATGTGAAGGAGAAACTCTGATGTGAAGGGGGGAACTCTGATATGAATGTGGGGGACTCTGATATAGAGGGGGGATCCTGATGTGTAGGGGGGCTTGAGA